TATTGTCAGGAGGGACCAGTTGGTAAGATGGAGGGTCAGAGATATAGAGGAAGACCCCCAACGAGATGGACTGGCCAAGTGGCAGCATCGATGGACTCAAGTGTGGTAACAGTAGTGAGGTTGGCCCAGGATAAGGTCAGTATGGGTCGTTACTGATTCGATGGCACCAAACAACAACAACAGGAGCCCTGAGGAGTCCAGCATGGCACTGTGGGTTAATGCACTGGACTGCAAGGTCGGTTTGAACCCCAAGGTCGGCAGTTCAAGCTCACCAGCCACACCTTGGAGACTCTATATAGGGTTGCTATGAGTTGGAACCAACTCGAGAATCCTAAATGTGGTGCTGAAGAAAGAGCACTGGACTACAAGGTCAGTTTGAACCTCAAGGTAGTGGTTCAAACCCACCAGCTGCTCCTCAGAAACCCAAAACAGGATCGCTATGAGTCAGAACCAACTGGACGACACTTAAGGAGCCAAAACGTTGGCAGTTCCAACCAACTCAGGGCGCCTTGTAAGACAGTGTTGGAGATCTGTGTCCAACAGGTCACAGAGCCTGGACAACCCTGTGGAGCAGCACACCCGGATCACCATGGCTTAGAACTAATTTGATGGCAACTAACAAGAACAACACACAAGGTCGCCAGGAGCTGAAGGGGACATAAGAGTAACTGACAACAATAATCTCTTAACAACAAAATGCCAAAACCACCCAACATGCACACACAAGCTCACTTTCATTCCTCATACCCTCATTAAAATGGATTCGGTTCTGGAGTGGGTGTCAGGGATGTGGGCTGGGCAGAGCACTGACGATGGCCCGATTCTGCCAATCTCGGGTTTAAAGAATTCCACAATGCGATCGGTTGTGCCGTGGGCTTCTACAAGAGACGTGAACACTCTGGTTTACTCTCAACATATCCCCAAGGCCTACCACATCCCAGATGCAGCCAAAAAAACCTCCTAAGCTCTGAGGATCACCCAGCAAGAAAGAGCTGGTAATTGGTATTATAGAGCTATTCTGTCATTATACAGGGCTCAACAGTGTCCCCCTCAAAATCCATGTCCTCCAGGAGGCTGCAAATGAGGCCTTGTTGGGAAATAAATAAGGCCTTGTTCCATTCCTTGATGGAATGGAGTCAAGACAAGGTCACACTGAGGCAGGGAGAAAAGGGGGTCCAGAAATCAGGATTCAACATGAACACGAAAGCCTTCCAGAATCTTGAGACCTGTGTCCTTGTAGGACATGTCCGGGTCGCAACGCTCAGCAACCACATCCTGGGACACGCCACTGAGAAAGACCACTCCCCACAAGTTGCATATTTTACTCCCCTGTAAGATGGGACAGGAGTCCTGGTGTGGCGCTGTGGGTTAATGCGCCAGACTGCAAAGCCATTTGAACTGCAAGGTTGGCAGTTCAAACTCATCAGCTGCTCCTCGAAAACCCTATACAGGGTCGCTATGGGTCGGAACCGACTCGACAGCACTTCACAACAACACCAACAAGATGGGACATGCCATTAAGGAAGATCACCTATAAAAATTCTGTATGTTTACTGTCTTGTGAGATACTTTACAGGTCGGACTGGTTTACTTAGTACCCTAGTCACAACTTGGGCAGAGGACAATGCCAGTCACTAGGAGGGGTCCTAAAGAGTCATGCATGCTCAGGATCCCAGAATAAGTTCAGTCTGCTCCTACCAGAGGCTTTATGGTGGAATTCACCTTGAAGAAACACTGTGCACACACCCAACTAGCCCGCCCCTCCTAACTGGGCCACTTCCCAGAAATCCCTGCCTACCCTATGAATAAACATGATGCCTTTCCCAGCAAAGCCTCTGCTGGGAAGTCAGGGGTTAAGCATTGCGTTAAGCTCTCCCTGTCTCCACTGGCGAGTCTCTTTCCTCTAATAATAAACCTCTGTTTGTATGGAAACTGCCTCACCTGACTATTCTTCATCAGTAGAAGGCAAGAGCTCTCCTGGTTAGCCCTCCTGGTAACAATATTAAATTAGGATGCGCTCGTCATCCAATGTGTCTGGTGTCCTTATAAGAACACAGAAATCTGGGCCCAGGGACACAGAGGAGAGGCAGTGTCACATGAAGACAGAGGCAGAGAGAACCGAGGATTGCCAGAAGCCACCAGAAACCAGACCAGATGAACAAAGATTCTTCCCCAGAGCCAAGCTCTGCTGACACCTTGATCTCAGACTTCTGGCCTCCACAACTACGTGAGAATAAACCTTCTGTTTTACATCATCCAAGTTTGTGCCAATTTGCTACAGCAGTCCTAAGAAATTACTATTAATCCCAAATCCCATGATACTATAAATCCCAAACTCACTGTTGTTGATTTAATTCTGTCTCCCAGCAGCCCTGCAGGGTGGCCAAGGCTATAAATCTTTAAGGAAACAGCACGCTGCCACATCCTTCTCCAGAGGAGTGGCAGGTGGGTCCAAACCGCCTAACCACCACACCACCAGGGTGCCTTGGGAAACTAAATTAAGCCAAACCAAATCCACAGCCATCAAGTCAATTCTGACTAATATTAACCCTGCATAGGATTTCCAGGACTCCTGGTGCAACACTGTAGGGTAAGCACTGGACTGTGAACCAAAAGGTAGGTGGTTCAAACCCATCAGCTGCATCTTGCAAACCCTGTTCAGGGTTTGAGTCAGAATTGACTCCACGGCACTTAACAAAAATACAGGGTTTCCAAGGCTGTGAAGCTTTATAGGTGGTGGTGATGTGCCAGTGAGTTGGTTCTGACTCATAGCGACCCTGCATAGGGCTTCTGAGGCTGTAAATCTTTAAGGGAACAGAAAG